GAAATGGCCAGAAGGTAGGCATCCAGAGCTGAACTTCTGTCTGCTTTCAGAAAGAGGCCTTTGTCCGGCACAATTTGTTGTGACCGATCGGGGTGCCCCACAGTCCATCTCCGGCCCTGGGTGGAATCTCATTCTGACCAGGCTGTTTCCTGGGGGGGATGAAGGTACAATTTCAAACACTTTAAAATGAACCACTGGAGACTGTCAGATGGAATCAGAAAAGGAAAGCCAAATATACAGTGTCTGTAAGAGACACATCTTTTAATTAATTTATTTATTTTTGGCTGTGCTGGGTCTTCGTGGCTGGCTTTCTTTAGTTGCAGCCAGTGGGCTTTTCCTAGCAGTGGCTTCTCTCATTGCAGAGCACAGGCTCCAGAGTACTGGTTCGGTAGTTCTGGCATATAGGCTTAGGTGCCCTGAGGTATGTGGGATCTTCCTGGACGAGGGATCGAACCCATGTCCCCTGCACTGGCAGGCAGATCCTTAACCACTGGACCAGCAGGGAAGCCCTAAGAGACACACCTTATCTCTACAGACTGTAGCCCATAAAGAAGGGGCAGTGGCTGTTGTTCAGTTGCTCAATCGTGTCCGACTCTGAGACCCCATGGACTGCAGCACGCCAGGCTTCCTTGTCTTTTACCATCTCCTGGAGTTTGCTCAAACTTGTCCATTGAGTTGGTGATGCCATTCAAACACTTGTCCTCTGTCATCCCCTTCTCCTCCTGCCTTCAATCTGTCCCATCATCAATGTCTTTTCTAAAGAGTTGGTTCTTCAGCTGCTACTGCTGCTACGTCGCTTCAGTCGTGTCCGACTCTGTGAGACCCTATGGACAGCAGCCGCCAGCCTCCTCTGTCCACAGGATTCTCTAGGCAAGAATACTGGAGTGGGTTGCCATTTGACTACAGGATAATACATATATGTTTTTTGGCATGTGTGTTCAGTCATGTCTGACTCTTTGTGACCCCATGGACTATAGCCTGCCTGGCTCACCTGTCCATGGGATTCTTTAGGCAAGAATACTGGAGTGGGTTGCCAGTTCTTACTCCAGGGGATCTTCCCAACCCAGGGATCAAACCCACATCTCTGGTGTTTCCTACATTGGTAAGTGGGTTCTTTACCACTAGCACCACCTGGGAAGCCCACCGTGTAACACAGCAATGCAAAGCAGGTGCTGGCACCTGAGAGTGATCTCAGACTCACATCTGGCTTCTGCAAATACAGAAGGGTCTCAGGGTGTTAGCGGGTTCCATAAGAAGTACCAAGTGCCCAGGACAGTCAGTGATAGGCTCAGAACCAGTGCTAAATGAGCGGTGACTATTATAGTTACAAAATCAGTGACAACCTGGAAAAATTCTAGGAGGGATGTCACTTCACCCATCGACCACTCTTTTTTTCTATTTCTTATTTTGGTCACACCATGAGGCTTGGGCTTGCAGGCTCTTAGTTCCCCAACTAGGGATCAAACCCAGACCAGGGAATTCCCACCCTCTAAACACTCTTAACACAGCACTTGGGTAACAGGTTTTAACCATCTTCCCACCTCCTCCCGACTTCCAACACAGACACACTCTCAGACACCCTTTCTCAGAGCTAACAGTCAAGTAGCCAAAGTGGTCTGAATTTCCGTGCCACTTGAAGGAGGTGTTAAGATCCATAAAAGGTAGGGAAGACAGGAGAACAGATGTCAGGCCAGGATAGGGTGCAAATCTGGCAAGTGATCCAGTCACTGCAAATAAGTCTTGTTTCCAAGGGAGGAAGTATAGTGGGGGATGGGGCGACTGCATGCAAATCTCCGAAGAACTGGTCTGGACACAGACACTGTGGTAGAGAGGGGCTCACTGGGGTGGAGGGGTAGGTGAGTAGGGGGAGTCCTGGCTTGGAGGGAGTGTACAAACCAGCTTTCCTTTAAATCTTTTTTTTTGGGGGGGGGCCACACTGAACAGCTTGTGGGATCTTCGATCCCCAACCAAGGATGGAACCCAGGACCCCAGTAGTGGAAGCACAGAGTTCTAACCACTGGACCACCAGGGAAGTCCTCAAATTAGTTTTTCTAAGAGATGGACTCCCAAAATGGCTAAGTAGGGACTTCTCTGGTGGCCCAGTGGTGAAGAATCTACTTGCTAATGCAGGGCATTCGAGTTCGACCCCTGCTCCGGGAAGATTCCGCATGCTGCAAGCTAGTAAGGCCATGAGACACAGCTACTGGACCCTAGTGCCCTAGAGCCAAGCTCCGCAATGAGAGAAGCCGCCGCAAGGAGAAGCCCGCACACCAGAATGAGAGCAGCCCCCACTCGCCAAAACTAGAGAAGGGCCTCACACAGCAGCAAAGCCTCAGTGCAGTCAAAAATAAATAATTTTTTAAAAACAGCCAAGGAGTTCAGGTCTTAAGTGACATACTCCCCAAGCCTTCTCTATTTAGCCCATGCCTTGGGGGGCTTCCCAGATGGCGCCAGTGGTAAAGAACCTGCCTGCCAATGCAGGAGACATAAGAGATACAGGTTCGATCCCTGGGTGGGGAAGATCCCCTGGAGGAGGACAAGGCCACCCACTCCAGTATTCTTGCCTGGAGAAGCCCATGGACAGAGAAGCAGCTGGCATAGAGGCAGGGCCACATCTTTGTCCTGTCTAGAAATGTCTGGTGGCTCAGGGGAGGGCGCAGGAGTGCTGTCCTCAGTTTGCTAAGAGGCCATAATCTGGGATCCTCCTGTCCATAGAAACACTGGCTCCCTCCCAGAAGTCCAATGAGTAATAGCAGCAGGTACCAACTGCCACCTCACCAAAACCGGCCAGGCTCAGCTCACGGCGCCAGCTGGCACTGTGTCAAGAAACTGACATCCCCAGAGTGCTTACACAGAGCTACAAGTTCTTGCTCTTACTGCACGAGGCTGTACTTTTAGAACTGATCAGTTACTAATGTTGGTGCATCAAAAGGCACTATCAAGGGGACTTTCCTGGTGGTCCAGTTAAGAATTTACCTGCCAATCCCTGGTCCAGGGACTGAGATCCCATAGACAGTGGGGCAACTAAGCCCCTGCGCCACAACTACTGAAGCCCACGCACCCTCTGCTCTGCACCCGGAGAAGCCGTCGGCGCAACTGGAAAAACCCACACGCAGCACAGAGGAGTCTGTATGCCACAACAAAGACCCAGCGCAGCCGTAAATAAATACACGAATATTTTTTTAAAAAGACACTATCGTGGTGCTTCATGAACCAGAGCAGCAGCAGTGGGGGTAGAAAAAAGGGTGTGCGTGTGTGCTGAGTCACATTTCTTTGCAACCCTACGGACCACAGCCCTCTAGTCTCCTCGGTCCATGAGATTCTCCAGATAAGAATACTGTACTGGTTGGCTCTGCCCTCCTCCAGGGGATCTTCCCGACCCAGGGATCAAACCCGCATCTTTTATGTCCCCTGTATTGGCAGGCAGGTTCTTTACCACTAGTGACACCTGGGAAGGCCAGAAAAAAGGGTGTACTAATCGATTATTTATTGTACTGTTTACATATCTGTTTCCCTCCTAAGACTGTGAACCCCTTGGAGGGTAGATACATCCCCAGGTCCTCCATGTCCAGCACAGAATAAATACTGAGTAAATGTGATGTGAATTGAGAAAAAGAAATATCAACAAAGTGAAAAGACAATCCACAAATAAGAAAATGTTTGTAAATCACGTATCTGAGAAAGATCTAGTATCCAGGATATATAAAAACTCTTAAAATTCAATAACAAAAAGACAAGCAATCTGATTTAAAAATGGACCCAGGACTTGACTAGGCATTTCCCTGAAGAGACATACAAATAACCAACAAGCACATGGAAAGATGCTCAATATCATTAGTCATTAGGGAAATGCAAACAAAAACCTCAATGTAGTACCACTTCACACCCACTAGGACGGCTATAATTTTTTTTTTTTTTCAAGTTGGACTGCAACCAGATACATTAAATCCTGCAATATGCTAATAACTAATACTAGCTCAATAGGTGATCTCTCTGAGGTGTTTCTATTTAAAAAAAACTCATTCAAGTTAATTTTGTGTACAGGATTCCAAGCATAATGGCAGGTAGGATTTTTTGGTGAATATAGGACTCTTTTCAAAGCTCCTTAAATCAAGTTCAATCTATTGCCTTTTGTAATATTAAAACGAAAATTTCTGAAGGAACTCTGCATATACTAGCTTAAAATGTTTCGGAATATATTCCTCACAATTTCCTTTCCATAAAGTGTTTTGATCAGTCCAATGACACTTACTTTTATAATGTCGTTTACTGACGGTGGCAGGATATTTTGTCACTTACTTAAAAATTAATACATCAAACGAAATTAAAGCGAAAATAATCCATCAAAACAGCTTGACTCCTCTTTGCTGGAGTTCCTCACCCAAGTCAATGACATAAATCCTTGAGTTTGCTCACTTTTGGAATCATGTCTAACATGTTTGATCAGAGGGGGCAACCTTCTGGTCTGACTTGGAGGAATTTGATCAGGAAAAAAAAAAAGATGGAAAAGCAGAATGTTGCCAAGAAGGTGTGGGATTTGGGGTGGAGGCCAGAAAAAGAAAAAAAGAAAGGGAAGCTCCTTCATTCACTTGAAGAAACACTTATTTCTGCATCCCACAGGCCAGGGTCTCTTCTGTTGACGTCTTCTCCGGAAGGGTAATCCCGTTGACCAATGTCAGATTCTGATTACGTGAGGAACTTGAGTCGCCCTCGCTTCCGACCCTCTCCTGAACTGCCTTGAAGCGGGGGAGATAGGCTGGAAAGGGGAGGAAGGCAGAGGCCAAGGCCGCCTCGCAGAGCACATCTGCTGTGTTCAGCCAGAGCGTCTGTCAAGCAGTGGGAGGGAAAAGCGCATGGAGCCACCAGCCCACTCGGGCGAAACTCGCCAGAAAAAAGCCCGCCCTGCCTCCGCCCCCTGCCCGCAGCTTCTGCTGAGCGGCNGCCAAGAAGGCGTGGGATTTGGGGTGGAGGCCAGAAAAAGAAAAAAAAAAACAGGAAAGTTCCTTCATTCACTTGAAGAAACATTTATTTCTGCCTCCCACACGCCAGGGCCTCTTCTGTTGATGTCTTCTCTGGAAGGGTAATCCCGTTGACAAATGTCAGATTCTGATTATCTGAGGAACTCGAGTCGCCCTAGCTTCCAACCCTCTCCTGAACTGATTTGAAGCGGGGGAGATAGGCTGGAAAGGGGAGGAAGGCAGAGGCGAAGGCCGCCTCGCAGAGCACATCTGCTGTGTTCAGCCGGAGCGTCTGTCAAGCAGTGGGAGGGAGAAGCGCATGGAGCCACCAGCCCACTCTCGGGAGAAACTCGCCAGAAAAAAGCCCTGCCTCCGCCCCCTGCCCGCGGCTTCTGCTGGGCGGCGGTGGAAAGGCAATTTTTGGAAACTTGAAAGGGGAGGCTGTGTGGCGGACAGAAAAGCGTAACCTCAGCAGGTCGGGCTGAGGCTCCCCGGACAGCGGGTGGGCCAGGCTGAGTCGGGTCGGGTGTGGAGCCGGAGCCGCGTCCCGAGCGGCGGCTGCAGCGAGGCCCCGCCCCCCAGGCGCAGTTCCCCGTCCGGCCTGGCGAGGGCGCCGGCGCGGCAGATCAGGTGACCGAGTGCTCGTCCGGGGCTGCGGGGAAGCGGCCTCGTTCTCAGCCGCCAGAGACGCTGCCACCTCCGCCACACCTAGTGGAGGAGAGAGCGCCCGGGCTGGGGACGGAAGGGCGGCGGACCGAAGGCAGGAGGCTGTCGGGGCGCGGGCTGCTGTGGGGAAAGGGACGACGAGGCGTCCGCCGCGGCTCGCTCTGTCCACCCGCACGAGATTGGGGCGCGAGAGCCATGGACACGCTCTCCTGAGACGGAGGTCACGGGCGGGAGGGGAGGAGGCCCGACCGAGGTAGCTGCGGAGGCCGCGGGCCGGTGACTGGGCGCGAGGCCGGCAGTGCCGGCCCCACCACTGCCGCCACCCACCATGTCGCGCTCCGTGCTGCAGCCTAGCCAGCAGAAGTTGGCGGAGAAGCTCACCATCGTCAACGACCGGGTCGTCGGCATGGTCACGCGCCTCTACAACAGCAAGAAGGTGCGCACGGGCCGGCGAGGCCTCGGCGGGGGCGGCGGGCAGGCGGAGGCGTGAGGAAGGGCCGGGGAGGCCTGGGCCCTGGGGGCGGCGGGCGGCGCCCGGGGCGGCAAGCGCGGCCTCGCGGCGGCAGGCCCGCCCAGGGTCGCCGGGATGCGCCGCGGCCTAATGCGGAGCCCTGGCGTCTCTCCCGCCGGGTCGCGGGCCGGCCAGGGGCGGAGAGGAGCCATTTGCCCGCTCCCAGCAATGGGAACTGGCCAGCCCGGCGCGGGGTAAGGGACTGGGTCTGCGTGAAAGGGAGGAGGATGGATGAGATACTAGATGGGGGCTAGGAAAACTTGGGTGTTCCGTAACGGAGATCGAATGGTAGAAATCGGGCGGAGATGGAAGCAGTTTTTTTTTCTTTTTTTCCCCTCAGTTCTTTTGGTATGTAAGTGGGAGCGTGAGAAGGGAATGGCTCATCTGGATGAACCCTACATCTCCTCCACTTGGCCATTTTATTCTGGATCGCCAAATAAAAGCCATTGAAGAGTGTGTTGACGATTTGGAATTATTTCATTTTGAAGGTGGAAAGGAGGTGGGAGTGAGGGTGGAACCAGTTTTCTCCTGAAATACTTCTGGGTTGTGAGTCACTAGGACAGGAATAACAACCTTCTTGTCTTTCTTTACTCCTCCTCATCTTAGTTTTTCCAACCATGTCGCTAATACCAAAACACCGTTGCTTAAATTTCTTGACGTTCGGTGTCTATACAAAATAAAAACTGTGATTGTGTTGCTCTTATGCTGATTTTATGGTGTAGTCTGATCATTTGAGTAGCTCTAGCTAATAGACCCATTGAAAGTACATGGCTTTCGCAACATTAAGGAATGAAAGGCTGAGTTGCAATTAAGAAAAATAGATGGAAGGATAGAGCAAATATTACATTAATTTATTTTAGAAAAGAAAGACCAAAATTCTATTCCTTTTAAGGCAAAGTTAGTAAGTTTTTAGTAATTTGATAGAGAAAACTGAAGATTTTTTGATGCAAGCTGGATCCTGACAGTTTCCAGTGTGTATTTGATGTTATATCTTCATAATTTTTTTGTTGGCTTTTTAATGCATTCTGAATATTTCCTTTTAGTTTAATCATAGCAGTAGAGTTGTAGCCCTTGTAAATTAGGTCTCCTGAAGAAAAGAATACTTAAAAAACGTATGATGGAGTTCAATATAAAACTGACCTATTTCAGCAATTTGATGTAGACACTGAAATTCTAGAGGAGAAGACTGTCCTGGTTTAATAATGATAAATTTTGTGTAGCGATGGCTGTGTTCCATTGGCTTCCCTGAATAGAAGGATTGGTTGACTTTAAACCTAGTGCACTCTGGAGAGTAAAATGCCTCTTCACACTTCAATTTTGTGTGACAGGAGCTCAGGGTCATTCCAATGAAGCCCTCTGCATTTACCGAGAAGAGACTTGGTTATAAGTTTGTAATAATTTTAGATAGTATTACTTACAGGTTCATTGACCTGAACTTTTTTGTGAGATTATGCTCCTTAACTTGGAAATTCGTTCCTATGTGAGCTTTGTGCAAAGAACAGGCAAGACAAACATCGCTAGAAGTTACTAGACATGTGGTCTTGTGGTTAAAGGAAATGGTTATGATGGTTTCCAAGAGAGGAAATGAGAGTAACATCAAAAGTGATTCGGGTATTTAGGCAAAATTCCTCTTTTTAAAGCATTCGTTACACATTTTTATGGCATGAAAATAGTCAGATTTTACAAATTTCATCTTCATAAATGATCTCAGATGAGATTAAATTCTAAGCGTTCAAATGCTTCAGTTCACTGCCTTTTCTCAAAAGCATGTTTTTTCACTTCCTGTTTTGAGAAACTTTAGGCTCTTGCATTACTGAACGAGTACAATTTAAAGTGAGTTGATCATTATAGCCAAGTGTCTAATATTTTGAATTATTGAAATGTTATATTTCGGCCCTTAACACATTTATAATTTCTTGAGAAATACTTCTGCCTTGTCTGAGTGACTGTGAGATCCCGCTCAATTTTTGAATTACTAGTACTTGGGGTCTTCCCTGGTCCATGAAGCTTTCAGTTAGGACTTGTTGAAATGGATGAATACATTATGCATATCATGTATGTATGTATGTATATGCAACATGTATATTAGCGTGTGTGTGTGTGTAATCTTGCTCTAGTTTTAATACTAATAGCTTTTGATCTGCCCTCCTTGTGTTATTTTATATACAGGTGCATCAGATGGATTTTGAGTCTCTCAGCCTGTATAGAGTTGTGTATAAAGCCTGGCATATCTTCCTGGATGGCTGGGATTGAAACATTTCAAAAATCTTGCCTAAAAAAGTGATTAAGATCTGTTTACCATGTGTTTATAAGATTCGTGCTGTCTACATTTTTATGACAGTATAAGCCCATGTAATCTTTTCAATCTCAATCTCTTACAGTCCTCAAAAAAAAAAACAACCCTTCTATCACATGATACATGTCTGCCAGTCAGTTACTACATTTTCATTAATTCATGTTTGCATTAGATTGTCTATCAGATCTGATTACTGTTTCAACTAAAAGTCTGCAATGGCAAAATTTTAGTGAGCATATACAATGAAAAATACTTCAGTGACCTAAGTATCAATAAAATAACTTTAAGTTACTATAACCAAGAATAATAGGCTTTAATACTTAGAGGAATATAACATGGCCCCTGAAAAATATTTTGCTATTTGAAGTAAAATTTTATCAGTTGAGTAATTTTTGATATCTTAATATGTGCAGGCTGGAGAAGGAAATGGCAACCGACTCCAGTATTCTTGGCTGGGAAATCTCACCAACAAAGGAGCCTTGTCCATGGGGTCGCAAAAGAGTCGGACAGCACTGAGTGATTAAACAACGAACAAATATGTACAGATTATGAAAATTTTAAGAATTTGTGATCAAATCAGGGATTTAAGAAGATGTGAAGGAGGATTTTAGGGGGAAAAGGTGAAGGTGGTAGGTAGTTTTACATTTAAATTTATTTATTTCATAATGTCTTAATTTTTTCAAAATTGAAAATGTCTTCCCTTTTCTGGAGCTGCTACTACTACCCACTTCTATAGTGACTTTTAACATTTTCAGCCTGCTTTTATATCACTCATTGTGACATGGCAGGGCAGTGTGGTGAAAGGAGAGTATCCAGCCGAAAGTTAGGAGACCTGCCTCCCAGGCTTCAGTATGTCACTGAGAGTTTTGTAATATTGGGTGGGTGTCTTGACTTCCCTGAGCTTCATTGTTTTTCGTCTGTGAAATGGGGGAAGATTAACTGTGAAAGGAACACTCAAGTCTGTTCCAACTCCGATTATGTTATCTTTACGAAGTAGAAGTTAAGGCCCATTTTAAAGAGTTTGACTGAGCTCTGTTTAGTTTTTCTTAATATAGGGATGGTAATAACATGATCTGTCTACTTCATAGGATTGTGAAGATAAAAGATTATAACAATGTGAAAATAGTTTAAAACTTCTATGAATGTAAGATGGTATTTGTTTAAGACTCTCAATAACTTTTAGGAGCAACATTTGTTTTTTTCTGAAATTTTGCTGCTGTTTAGCAAACACATATACCAAAATTCCAAAGAGGGAACATTTTTAAGCTGAGCTTAATTTTGTGTGTGTGTGTGTTTATTCCTTTTTACTTTTTCTATTTTTTCCTATGCCATCACCAACATGAACTTGATAATTCTGTACCAAAAAGCTCTCAGTTAATACTTGTAATATTTTTCATCTTGTTAAATTACTGCTTCAATTCTAAAGGACAGAAAGGCGAAAATACCTATCCATCTATTGCAGACTTCTTTTTAATGGAGTATTTTTATTACAGGCTTTTGCCCCTGATTTTGGATAATTTTATTTTATGAGTAAAGAAGTTAATAGCAGTGTAAAATTGAAAGTCTTTACCTGATATCTGCTTATCTAATGGAGGTAAAAAAAAAAGTATGTGAAGTATGCAATCAGGTTAAAGGAATCAGCTTTAGTCTTCCCTTTCAGTGTTGCATTTCTCTTCATTTAAGGGCCTTGTTTTCTCTGTGGGTTAATCAGGAGCAGAAAGCATGTTCCAAAGATTGGATTCTGGCAAGTTGTAGAAGTACTGTTAGTACCTATAAGATTTTTCTCCCCAGGGAGATTTTCATTATCAAAATCCTTAAACATGTTTAGAAAGCATTGTCTCTTCATCAATCTGTCTTATATATATATAAGACATGTATATATTTATGTAAACAAATCCTACTACATCTGTTTGTAACTTTTCAAGGAAGCTGCTTGTAAAAATGAGGATTTGATAATTCTGTTTCTTGTTACACTGGATGGTAGGCTGAGGAGATAAAGATCACTGAAAAATACTTAGGAAAGAGGGTTATTTTTAT